AAGTCGTCAGTGGTGGGTTCGGTGTAAAGACCATCTTGGAGACGAGGCAACTGTCGTAGATAAGCAGGGGTAGGAGGAACTCAGCGGCCATGATGGGGTGGAAGAGGCTGAGAAGACTACGATCGCTGTCGATGCAGACAGAGAGGACAAGCCATCCGCGGCAACAGCCAAGACATGACCTAACCGAGGGGATTGTGGTGAGCTTGAAGGAGCGGCATGCGGTGGGGCAGAGCTTGCCTGAAGGGATGGGGTTGAGCCCGAAGGAGCTATGTGTGAGGATCAAGGCTACAGTGGTACGACGCTTGATGGCGGTGGTGATGCAGCGCTTAGCGGGTCATCGCTGTGGTCCACGAGTTGCGATAGTGACTGTGGCGTGAGCGTGGAACGCCCTGTCGGGCAAGTTCCCCGCGCACTCGCGTAGCACTTGAGGTCATCAAGTCCATCGGCGATGCGGCAGACGAGCTCCGGCGGTAGGTCTGCCCAGGCCCGACATGACAACATGGCATGGCAAGGATTTTGGACAGGGTTGGGGAATTTCTTAATGAAAAATGGGGGGCTTTCACTCACACAAATAAAGAATGAAAGAAAGAAAGAAAGAAACACTGAAGTTGCGTGCCCTCGCCCATGATGGAACTATTTTAAAGTGTCTGACTGAGCCACAGAAACGTGCGTGCAGAAAATTGCTTGAAGAAATAGCGGTAATGATTGTATATATATTTTAATTAATGCTTCGAGAATTCGTGATTTCCTTCCGCCAAATCAATATAGAATTTAATTAGTGCTTCCAGAAATTACGTAAAATACTCAAATATTTTTCGTTGGTAAATCGTGATTGCTTGAAAATAGACATATACTGCATCAGTCCCGCGTTAGCTGGCTCGTGATTGTTTTTGGTAAGTCGTGATTGCTTGAAAATAGACATATACTGCATCAGTCCCACGTTAGCTGGCTCGGATTTTACTAAATAAGGATGTATCTAGACACGTTTAAGTGTTGGATACATTTGTATCTAAACAAATCTAGATCAACTAATTTGGAGCCAAGGTTGTACAAAATATTAATGTTGTTCGGAAACCACGTATTTGCTTCCAACAAACAACTAACATATTTTTCCTATAGCACTAAAGTGGCATGGACACTTAAATTTGGCCAACACTCGGTGTGTGAACACCGACGTGCTTGATCATTGCAATGTGAGACTGACATGTCTCCAACGTATCTATCTATAATTTTTTATTGTTCCATGTTATTATGTATCAATCTTGGATGTTTTATATACATTTACAAGCAACTTTATATCATGTTTTGGAACTAACCTACTAACTTAGTGCCCAGTACCAGTTGCTGTTTTTTTTCTTGTTTTTTACTTTGTAGAATACAAGTACCAAACGAAGTCCAAATGCCACGATACCTTTTGGAGATCTTTTATGGCAATCAGAGACCCGGGAAGCTTCACGAAGGAACAAGAAGACAAAGGAGTGGCCCAGTAGCCACCAGGGCACTCCAGGGGCCTAGGGCGCGCCCTGGTACATAGTGGGGCCCACAAGCCTCTATTTGACCTAAATCCGCCTTTCTAAATACTCTAAATCAGGAAACCTACCAGGGAGTCCACGAATTACTTTTTTTGTTGTCGCAAGCCTTTGTTCTCGAGAGATCTCATCAGGGGACCCTTTCTGGCACTCTGCCGGAGGGAGAAACGATTACAGAGGGGTTCTACATCATCCTTGTTGTCCCTTCGATGATGCATCAGTAGTTTATACGGACCTATGGATCCATTGTTGGTAGCTAGATGGTTTCTTCTCTTGTTTTGATTCTCAATACAATGTTCTCCTTGGTGTTCTTGGAGATATATTTGATGTAATGACTTTTTGCGATGTGTTTTTGGGATCCGATGGATTGTGAGTTTATGATCAGATGCGTCCATGAATTTTATTTGATTTTTCCCAGAACTCTTTTATGCATGATTATTATAGCTTCATATTTTTTCCTCCGATTTTTTGGTTTGGTTTGGCCAAGTAAATTGATTTATCTTGCCATGGGAAGAGGTGCTTTGTAATGGGTTCGATCTTGTGGTGCTCAATCCCAATGCCAGAAAGGGACATGACACATATGTATCATTGCTATTAAGGGTAACAAAATGGGATTTATTCATACATGAGTTTATCTAGTCTACATCCTATCATCTTGCTTAATGCATTACTCTATTTTTCCAAGAACTTAATACACTAGATGCATGTTGGATAGAAGTCGATGTGTAGAATAATAGTAGTATATGCAGGTAGGAGTCGGTCTACTAATTTTGGACATGATGCCTATGTATGATCATTGCCTTGGATATCAACATAATTATTTGCTTTTGTATCAATTGCCCAACAATAATTTGTTTACGCACCTTAGGTTATTTTCTCGAGAGAAACATCTAATCAAAACTATGGCCCCCGGGTCTATCTTTTCTCATATATTAAAAATAAAAATACCTTGTTGAAATTTTCTTCTATGTATTTTATTTTGTATTTTGTTCAATCCATCTATCAAAAACTATACAATTTATCTTGCTCGTAACAGTTGAGGGATTAACAACCTCTCTATGCATTGGGTTGCAAGTATTTGTTGTTTGTGTGCAGGTGTTGTTTACATAATGTTGCTTGGTTCTCCTACTAGATTAATAAGCTTGGTTTCATAACTGAGGGAAATACTTATCTCTACTACACTGCATCATCCTCTCCTCTTTGAGGAAATCTCAACACGTCTCATAAGTAGCAGAGATGTCCATTCCGAGTCATGTGGGCTATTTCAATAGTCAAACGCTTCATCCTAGCTCCCCTCCTCTTCTCTCGTAGGTCCTTAGAAAACTAAGACGGAAAAGAAACTTATTAAAACGAGGGCTATCGCCACAGCAACACCTCTCACATCTAGCAGCAGCTCGCCATCCCCTCCCACTCCAACACCACAAGCTCCAGCCAGCTACTGTGGCCGTCATGGTTGTAGCATCCCTGCAAGCTGCCCCCTACATCCCATCTGCGAGCTGCACCATCGTCGGGTGGCATCCCAACATCTCTTTTGCTGGTTGTAGCTCATAGCAACGTTGGCCCCAGCCCAAGGTAACCAATTTTCCTATCCTAAAACACAATGACCATAGTAGTAGCAAGTTGAGGTGTCATTCCCTCCCCGGTGTGACCATAGTTGCATTTTCCCACCCCCCACCTCCTCCCATTTTGCCGCCAGGCTGTCAACATCATATTGCAGCAACACATCAGTTGTTACCACGCATAGTGGCTATGGACAATCGCCAGAGTTAGTGATCCATGCTTCGGTTCACAGCTTTGAAGCCATGACCATCAAGGGAGAGGTGGAGAAGGAGGCCAAGGATGAGCATGGAGGAGCGACTCTACCGGAGAACATTTCATGTTCATCATCGGGATCACCAACACTCTATTCATCATCAGGATCATCTTCTCCATCAACATCTTCACCAGCACCATCTCATCTTCGAACCCTAGATCATCCCAGTTGCTCATTCTTTTTATCAAAGTTCATATTGGTACCCGTGAGTATTTTATGTGTTGATTACACGTTTGTAGTTGATGCATAGGAGAATTATTTGTGAAAGATTGTTATGTTCAGATTGTTCTTTATATATTCGTACCTACTGATCATTATCCATATGATGTTTTGTGAGTTGATCCATTAGTTCTTGAGGACAGGCAAAAAGTCTTATTAATAGTAGTCATGTGAAGTAGATTAACATTCAATGTTTTGATTATATGTTGCATTGTTCCTCCTCTAATGGTGTTATGAGAACGTCGATTGCATGACACATCACCATATTGAGGCCTAGGGGAAGCAATTGTGGAATCAGTTTGTTGATTATGGGTTGCTGGAGAGATAGTAACCCAAACCCCAGTTTATCAATTGTTATGTGAGGGGCTGTTTTGGATCCAATTGTTCAGTGTATTGTTAAATTTATCTTGATTACTTCAAATGTAGGGAACAATGAATCAAATGACTGTCTAATGATTCCACATGAATTAAATAAACTTTGAATGTAGTATACAAAAAACATAAACAAAACCCTTTACCCATGGTACAACATCACTTCCACCAATGTGGTTGGTGGTCCTTATCACTGTGTGGCCAAGCTGGCCCAGTGATGCATCACTTTTTTTCAGACTAAGCATGAGCCCTTGCTTGGTTCTGGCAAACTCGTCTTTCATTCATCTCTTAGAAAGTACCAATATATTGTGCTTTTTGGAGACCCCGAAACGATACAATCTATGAGGGGAATGCAATGTGTTGACCTACAGTCTTCATGTCCCAGACCATGCCTCAATCCCTACCTCTCCCACCGATCCAGTACACACAATCTCCCTCGAGTCCCGGAACACCTTCCACATATATCAACACTACATTTTTGCTCCCAACAAACCATGAGTGTCCCCTTAAGTCGGCCACAATGTCCCAACATGGTCGGCCCTAGGGGTCATACCTCAGAACAAATATTTCATCATGTTCTACATGGCAGTGACCCCCTCCTGGCAGCTGCAAACTAACCATGCAGGCTGCATTCCTCCAGACTTGGTATATGTTACCATCGCAGAACACAATGTTATTAGCACTAGTGAAACTCGAGATTGTATTATATGGCGGGGCAAAACTAGTGGCACCATTGAACAGTGGGTTGCTTCCCACAGATGACAACAATGTCTCTATAGTGGCTGGCACGTTTAGATCTGGTCTTGCCCCATGCATCTAGATGATCCTCTTGTTATGCACTACATGATGTGTTAATGTGTGGCCCTCGAGGATGATAGGTTCGCGGCTGCTGCGCTGGAGTAGGCGGAGCACATGGACATCTCAAAACCGAGTGAGGCAGTAGACCATACCATTTCTTTGGTAGAGGAGGTCGGCGATCTGGTCTCCATCGGTGAGGCGGATGTGGTCGAGGATAGCCCACCTCCTGGCCCCAGCGGTGATGTAGGCAAGCCTATTGATGTTAAATATCATGGCGGCCAGGAAGTAATCACCAGTGGGTTGGGTGCAAAGACCATCTTGGAGACGAGGCGGCTATCGTAGATCAGCGCGGCCAGGAGGATATCAGCGGCCATGACGGGGTGGAAGTGGCTAAGTAGACTATGACCATCGTTGATGCAGACAGAGAGGGCAAGCCATCCGCCGCAGCAGCCAAGACAGGTCCTAACTGAGGGGATTGTGGTGAGCTTTAAGGAGCGGCATGTGGCGGGGCAGAGCTTGCCGGAAGGGATGGGGTTGAGCCCGAAGAAGCGACGCGTGAGGATCGAGGCTACAGTGGTATGACGGTTGATTGTGGTGGTAATGCAGTGCTTAGCGGGTTCGTCGCAGTGGTCCATGAGCAGCGATGGCGACGGCGGCGTGAGCACGGAATTTCCATGTCGGGCAAGTTCCCCGCGCAATCCCGAAGCACTTGAGGTCGTCAAGTCCTTCGGCGATGCGGCAGACAAGCTCCGGCGGCAGGTCTGCCCACGCCCGGCACGACAAAATGACGGGGAAAGGATTTTGGTGAAGTTTAGGAATTTCTTAATGTAAAATGAGGGGCTTTCGCTCAAAGAAAGAAAGTAACACAGAAGGTGAGTGCCCTGGCCTATGATGGAAATCTTTTAATGCGTCTGACTAAGCCAGGGAAACATGCATGCAGAAAATAACTTGCATAAATTGCGGCAACAACTGTATATATAATTTAATTAATGCTTCCAGAAGACGTGATTTCTTACTCTTTTTTGTTGTTTTTGGTAAATCGTGATTGCTTGAAAATAAACATATACTCCATCGGTCCGGCGTTAGCTGGTTCAGATTTGACTAAATAAGGATGTATCTAGACATGTTTAAGTGTTGGATACATTTTTATCTAAACAAATCTAGATCAACTAATTTGGATCGTACAAAATATTAATGTTGTTCAGAAGTCACATATTTGCTTCCAACAAACAACTAAAATATTTTTCCTATAGCACTAAAGTGGCATGGACACTTAAATTTTGGCCAATGCTCGGTGTGTGAACACCGACGCGTTCGATCGCTGCAATGTAAGACTGATAAGTCTGCAAACCGAGATTGTATTATATGGCGGGTGAAGCTGGTGGCGGCGTCGAACAGTAGGTTAGTTCCTACATATGACAACAATGTCTCTATAGTGGCTAGTGCATTTAGATCTGGTCATGTCCCGTGCATCTGGATGATCCGCTTGTTATCACTACATGATGTGCTATTGTGTGGCCCTCGAGGATGAAAGGTAACCTGGAGCGGTGCTGCGTTAGGCGAAGCACGTGGACATCTTGAAACCGAGTGAGGCAGTAGACCATACCATTTTGGTGGTAGAGGAGGTCGGCGATCTGGTCTCCATCGTCGAGGAGGATGGGGTCGAGGACGGCCCACCTCCTGGCCCCAGCGGTGACACAGGCAATCCATTGATGTCACATATCACGGCGGCCAGGAAGTCGTCTGTGCTGGGGTTGGGTGTAAAGACCATCTTGGAGATGAGGTGGCTATCATAGATAAGTGGGGGCAAGAGGATCTCAGCGGCCATGACGGGGTGGAAGAGGCTGACCATACTATGACCATGGTCGATGCAGACAGAGAGGGAAAGCCATGCGCCGCAGCAGCCAAGACAGGTCCTAACCGAGGGGATTGTGGTGAGCTTGAAGGAGCGGTGTCGGTGTCAAAACCAGCGGATGTCGGGTAGGGGGTCCCGAACTGTGCGTCTAGGCGGATGGTAACAGGAGACAAGGGACACGATGTTTTTACCCAGGTTCGGGCCCTCTCGATGGACGTAAAACCCTACTCCTGCTTGATTAACATTGATGATATGGGTAGTACAAGAGTAGATCTACCACGAGATCAGAGAGGCTAAACCATAGAAGCTAGCCTATGGTATGATTTTTTTGTTGTTCGTCCTACGGACTAAGACCCTCCGGTTTATATAGACACCAGAGAGGGCTAGGGTTACACAGAGTCGGTTACAATGGGAGGAGATCTACATATCCATATCGCCAAGCTTGCCTTCCACACCAAGGAAAGTCCCATCTGGACACGTGACGAAGTCTTCAATCTTGTATCTTCATAGTCCAGGAGTCCGGCCAAAGGTTATAGTCCGGTCATCCGGACACCCCCTAATCCGGGACTCCCTCGGTAGCCCCTGAACCAGGTTTCAATGACGACGAGTCCGGCGCGCTGATTTACTTCGGCATTGCAAGGCGGGTTCCTCCTCCGAATACTTCATAGAAGATTTTGAACACAATGATAGTGTCCAGCTCTGCAAAATAAGTTCTACATACCTCCGTAGAGAGAATAATATTTGTACAAATCTAATCTGCGGATGTATTCTGTAGCATGACATCATGCCACAGCCAAGCCTTCATTTGAATTGTTTTACTGTCCCACCTCAGCGCGTTTAGCAAGGCGGTTTCCTTGGCACGTCTTGTCAAAGCAGAGATCGTGTCCCCTTATTCCGGGATTCTCATCAATACGGGCGTGGGTAACCCAACCACGCCATTAATCATGGAGCTTGGGAGATAAGTGAGTTTTACTAGGCTGGTGGGGGTACATAGTTTCATCCGCCCATATAAGGGGATAAGGATCCACTCTTTCCATTTACGCCTTGTTCCTCCTTTGCTTATCCATCTCCGCGCACTCGAGCTCCAGCGCCCAAGTCCGCACTTCCCACCTCAACCTTCTCCAGCCATGTTCGAATCGGGAGGCAGGTGGATGGCCTCCTCCGTTACGGAGGGGCACATCAAAAAGTTGAGGAAACCCGTATACCTGTCCAACGACATCGCGCACCGGCTCGCAAATCAGGGGCAGCTCATCCCCACCCCTAGGCCCCATGAGAGGGTGGTGTTTCTCCCCAATTTCCTCCGCGGACTGGGCTTCCCACTCCACTCATTTGTCCGGGGGCTCATGTTCTACTACGGCCTTGATTTCCACGATCTGGCCCCGAACTTCATCCTCAACATCTCGGCGTTTATCGTCGTGTGCGACGTCTTCCTCCGCATCAAGCCCCACTTCGGCTTATGGCTGAAGATCTTCAACGTCAAGCCAAAGGTAGTGGGCGGCCAGCAGGCGGAGTGCGGAGGCGCCAAGGTGGGTAAGATGGCCAACGTCACATGGCTCGAGGGCTCCTTTGTGGAAACCATCAAAGGGTGGCAATCGGGGTGAGGGCGGAACGCCATATCGGCCAAGTTCTCTGCGCACTCGCGTAGCACTAGAGGTCGTCAAGTCCGTCTGCGATGCGGCAGACAAGCTCCGGCGGCAGATCTGCCAAGGCCCGGCACGACAACATGGCGGGGCAGGCATATTATCGAGGTTGGGGAATTTCTTAATGAAAAACAAGGTGCTTTCCTTCACACAAAGAAACAAAGACAGACAGAAGCAGAGAAGCTGAGTGCCCTGGCCTATGATGGAAATCTTTTAAAGCGTCTGACTGAGCCACGGAAAAGTGCATGCAGAAAATTACTTGCAGAAATTGAGGTAACAGCTGTATATATAATTTAATTAATGCTTACAGAAGAATTGATTTCCTTCCGCCAAATCAATATAGAATTTAATTAATGCTCTAGAAATTACGTATAACACTCAAATGTTTCTCCTTGGTAAATCATGATTTCTTACTCTTTTTTGTTGTTTTGGTAAGCCGTGATTGCTTGAAAATAAACATATACTCCATCGGACCCGCGTTAGCTGGCTGGTATTATACTAAATAAGGATGTATAGAGACACGTTTAAGTGTTGGATACATTTGTATCTTAACAAATCTAGATCAACTAATTTGGATCGAAGGTTGTACAAAATATTAATGTTGTTCAGAAATCACAGATTTGCTTCGAACAAACAACTAAGATAGTATTACTATATCACAAAAGTGGCATGGACACTTAAATTTGGCCAACGCTCGTTGTGTGAACATTGATGCGCTCGATCGTTGCAATGTGAGACTGATACGTCTCCAAATCTAGATTGTATTATATGGCGGGGCGAAGTTGGTGGCGGCGTCGAACAGTAGGTTGCTTCCTATAGATGACAACAATGTCTCTATCGTGGCTCGTGTATTTATATCTGGTCCTGCCCCGTGCATCTCGATGATCCGCTTGTTATGCACTACATGATGTGCTAATGTGTGGCCCTCGAGGATGACAGGTTCCTGCAGCGGTGCTGCGGTAGGTGGAGCACATGGACATCTCTAAACCGAGTGGGGCAGTAGACCATACCATTTCTGTGGTAGAGGAGGTCGGTGAGCTGGTCTCCATCGTCGAGGCGGATGGGGTCGAGGATGGCCCACCTCCTGGCCCCAGCGGTGACGCAGGCAAACCCATTGATGTCACATATCACGGCGGCCAGGAAGTCGTTTGTGGTGGGGTTGGGTGTAAAGACCATCTTGGAGACGAGGCGCTTGTCATAGATAAGCGGGGGCAGGAGGATCTCAGCGGCCATGACGGGTTGGAAGAGGCTGAGCAGACTACGACCGTCGTCAATGCAGACAAAGAGGGAAAGCCATACGCTGCAAGAACCAAGACAGGTCATAACCGAGGGATTGTGGTGATCTTGGAGGAGCGGCATGCGGCGGGGCAGAGCTTGCCTGAAGGGATGGGGTAGAGCCCGCATGAGCAAAGCATGAGGATCGAGGTTACAGTGGCAACGCTTGATGGTGGTGGTGATGCAGCGCTTGGCTGGATCATCGTTGTGGTCCACGAGCAGCGACGGCGACGGCGGCGTGAGCATGGAACGCCATATCGGGAAAGTTCTCTACGCACTCGCGTAGCACTTAAGGTCGTCAAGTCCGTCCATGATACGGCACACAAGCTTCAGCGGCAGATCTGCCTAGGCCCCACACGACAACGTGGCGGGGCAAGCATATTGTTGAGGTTGGGGAATTTCTTAATTTAAAACAAGGGGCATTGGCTTACATAAAGAAATAAAGACAGAAAGAAACAGAAAAGCTGAGTGCCCTGGCTAATGATGGAAATCTTTTAAAGCGTATGATTGAGCCACGGAAACATGCATCCAGAAAATTACTTGCAAAAATTGCAGCAACAGCTGTATATACAGTTTAATTAATGCTTCCAGAAGACGTGATTTCCTTCCGCCAAATCAATATAGAATTAATTAATGCTACCAGAAATTACATAGTCTCCATCGTCGAGGCGGATGGGGTCGAGGAAGGCCCACCTCCTCACCCAAGCGGTGACGCAGGCAAGCCCATTGATGTCACATATCATGGCGGCGAGGACTCGTCTACGGCGGGGTTGGGTGTAAAGAAGAGGCGGCTGTCGTAGATCAGCGGGGGCAGGAGGATCTCAGCGGCCATGAAGGGGTGGAAGAGGCTGAGTGGACTATGACCGCCGTCGATGCAGACAGAGAGGGAAAGCCATCCGCCGCAACAACCAAGACAGGTCCTAACCGAGGGGATTGTGGTGAGCTTGAAGGAGCGGCATGCGGCGGGGCAGATCGAGCTTGCCTAAAGGGATGGGGTTGAGCCCGAAGGAGCGATGTGTTAGGATCGAGGCTACAGTGGTACAATGCTTGATGGCGGTGGTGATGTCGCGCTTGGCTGGATCATCGATGTGGTCCATGAGCAGCGACGGCGACGGTGGCGTGAGCGCGGAATGCCATATCGGGCAAGTTCCCCGTGCACTCGCGTAGCACTTGAAGTCGTCAAGTACGTCGGCGATGCACAAGACAAGCTCCGGTGGCAGGTCTGCCCAGGCCTGGCACGATAACATGGGTGCCAAGGATTTTAGCGAGGTTGGGGAATTTCTTAATGAAAACGAGGGGCTTTCGCTCACTCAAACAAACAAAGGAAGGAAGAAATAAAAAAATAGTAAGTCTATGTGCCCTAGCCGATGATGGAAATCTTTTAAAGCGTTTGACTGAGCCACGGAAACGTGCATGCAGAAAATTGCTTGCAGAAATTACGGTAACAGCTGTATATATAATTTAATTAATGCTTCCAGAAGTCGTGATTTCCTTCTTCCAAATCAATATAGAATTTACTTAATGTTGCCAGAAATTATGTAAAATACTCAAATGTTTTTCCTTGGTAAATCGTGATTTCTTACTCTCTTTTTTTGTTTTTTCTAAGTCGTGATTGCTTGAAAAATAGACATAGTAAACTCCATCGATCCCGCGTTAGCTGGCTCAGATTTTGCTAATTTGTAGCGAAGGTTATACAAAATATTAATGTTGTTCAAAAATCACAAATTTGCTTCCAACAAGCAACTAAAATATTTTTCATATAACACTAAAGTAGCATGGACACTTAAATTTTGGCCAACTCTCGGTGTGGATAAGGAGGCTGACGGCGAGCATGGAGGAGAGACTCTACCAGAGAAACTTTCATGTTCATCATCGGGACCACCAACAATCAATTCATCATAAGGATCATCTTCTCCATCAACATCTTCACAAGCACCATCTCATCTTCAAACCCTAGATCATCCCTCTTGCTCAATCTTTGTATCAAAGTTCATATTGGTACCTATGAGTATTTTATGTGTTGATTACACGTTTGCAGTTGATGCATAGGAGAATTATTTGTGGAAAATTGTTATGTTCATATTGTTCTTCATATATTCATACCTACTGATCATTATCCGTATGATGTCTTGTGAAATGATCCATTAGTTCTTGAGGACATGCGGAAAGTCTTATTGATAGTAGTCATGTGAAGTAGATTACCATTCAATGTTTTGATTATATTTTGTGTTGTTCTTCCTCTAGTGGTGTTATGAGAATGTCGATTGCATGACGCTTCACCATATTGAGGCCTAGGGGAAGGAATTGTGGAATTGGTCTGTTGATTATTAGTTGCTGCAGAGATAGTAACCCAAACCCCAGTTTATCAATATTATGTGACGGGTTGTTTTTTATCCAATTGTTTAATGTTGTGTTAAACTTATCTTGTTTACTTCAAATGTAGGGAACAGTGAATCAAATGAAAGGCCGACGATTCCACATGAATTAAATAAAATCCGAATGTAGTATACAAAAAACATGAACAAAACCCATTACCGACAGTAAAACATTACTTCCATGAATGTGGTTGGTGGTCCTTATCACTATCTCGCCAAGCTTCCCTAGTGACGCATCACTTTCTTCCAGATTAAGCATGGGCCCTTGCTCGGGTCTGGTAAACTCTTCTTTCAGTCATCGCTTAGAAAGTACCAGCCGATTGTGCTTTGTGGAGACCCCAAAATGACATCATCCATGAGGGGAATGCAATGTGTTGACCTGCCAGTTTTCGGGTCATAGACCATGCCCCCATCACTACCTCTCCCACTGATTCAGTACACACAATCACCCTTGAGTCCCGGAACACCTTGCGCATATATCGACATTGCATTGTTCCTCCCAACAAACACTGAGTGTCCCCTTAAGTCGGCCAAAATGTCCCAACATGGTCGGCGCTGGGAGTCATACCTCAGAACAAATATTTCATCATGTTCTACACGGCAACGACGCCGTCCTGGCAGCTGCAAACGAACCATGAGGGCTACATTCCTCCAGATTTGGTATATGTTACCATCGCATGACACAAGGTTATTAGCACTAATGAAATTCGAGATTGTATTGGATGACGGGTCGAAGCTGGTGGAGGTGTCAAATAGTAGGTTGCTTCCTACAGATGACAACAATGTTTCTATAGTGGGTGACGTGTTTAGATCTGGTCATGTCCCGTGCATCTGGACGATCCGTTTGTTATGCACTACAAGATGTGCTAATGTGTGGCCCTCGAGGATGATAGGTTCCCGGCGGCGGCGGTGCTGCGGCAGGCGGAGCACGTGGACATCTCCAAACCGAGTGATGCAACTGACCATACAATTTCTATGCTAAAGCAAGTTGGCGATCTGGTCTCCTTCGACGAGGCGGATGGGGTCGAGGATGACCCGCATCCTAGCTGTAGTGGTGACGTAGGCTAGCCTATTGATGTCACATATCACGGCGGCCAGGAAGTCGTCACTGGTGGGGCTGGTTTCAAAGACCATCTTGGAGACGAGGCAGCCATCGTAGATCAGCGGGGCCAGGAGGATCTTAGCGGCCATGATGGGGTGGAAGAGGCTAAGCAGACTATGACCACCGTCGATGCAGATAGAGAGGGAAAGCCATGCGCCGCGGCAACCAAGACATGTCCTAACCGAGGGGATTGTGATGAGCTTGAAGGAGCGGCATGCGGCGGGGCAGAGCTTGCCTGAAGGGATGGGGTTGACCTCGAAGGAGCAAAGTGTGAGGATCGAGGCTACAGTGGTACGATGCTTGATGGCGGTGGTGATGCAGCGCTTCGCTGGATCGTCGTTGTGGTCCATGAGCAGCGACGGTGACGGCGGCGTGAGTGCGGGACGCCATATCGGCCAAGTTCTCTGCACACTCGCGTAGCACTAGAGGTTGTCAAGTACGTCAGCGATGCGGCAGACAAGCTCCGGCGGCAGATCTGCCAAGGCCCGGCACGACAACATGGCGGGGCAAGCATATTGTCGAGGTTGGGGAATTTCTTAATGAAAAAAGAGGTGCTTTCGCTCACACAAGGAAAGAAAGACATAAAGAAACAGACAAGATGAGTGCCCTGGCCAATGATGGAAATCTTTTAAAGTGTCTGACTGAGCCATGGAAACCTGCATGCAGAAAATTACTTGCAGAAATTGCGGTAACAACTGTATATATAATTTAATTAATGCTTTCAGAAGACGTGATTTCCTTCCGCCGAATCAATATAGAATTTAATTAATGCTTCTAGAAATTACGTATAATACTCAAATGTTTTTCCCAGGTAAATCGTGATTTCTTACTCTTTTTAGTTGTTTTTGGTAATCCATGATTGCTTGAAAATAAACATATACTCCATCAGACCCGCGTTAGCTGGCTGGTATTGTACTAAATAAGGATGTATAGAGACACGTTTAAGTGTTGGATACATTTGTATCTTAACAAATTTAGATCAACTAATTTGGATCGAAGGTTGTACAAAATATTAATGTTGTTCAGATATCACAGATTAGCTTCGAACAAACAACTAAGATAGTATTACTATATCACAAAAGTGGCATGGACACTTAAATCCGGCCAACGCTCGTTGTGTGAACACCGGCGTGCTCGATCGTTGGAATGTGAGACTGATATGTCTTCAAATCGAGATTGTAATATCTGGCGGGGTGAAGCTGGTGGCGGCGTCGAACAGTAGGTTGCTTCCTACATATGACAACAATGTCTCTATGGTGGCTAGTGCATTTAGATCTGGACCTGTCCTGTGCATCTGGATGATCCCCTTGTTATGCACTACAGGATGTGCTAATGTGTGGCCCTCGAGGATGATAGTTTCCGGCAGCGCTGATGCGGTAGGTGGAGCACGTGGACATCTCTAAATCGAGTGACACCGTAGACCATACCATTTATGTGGTAGAGGAGGTCGGCGATCTGGTCTCCATTATCAAGGCGGATGTGGTCGAGGACGGCCCACCTCCTGGCCCCAGCGGTGACGTGGGCAAACCCATTGATGTCACATATCACAGCGGCCAGGAAGTCGTCTGTGGTGGGGTTGGGTGTAAAGACCATCTTGGAGACGAGGCGCCTGTCGTAGATAAGCGGGGGCAGGAGGATCTCAGCAGCCATGACGGGGTGGAAGAGGCTGAGCAGACTATGACCATTGTCGATGCAGATAGAGAGGGAAAGCCATCCGCTGCAGCAACCAAGACAGGTCCTAACCGAGGGGGTTGTGGTGAGCTTGAAGGAGCGGCAGGCGGCGGGGTAGAGCTTGCGTGAAGGGATAGGTTGAGCCCAAGGGAGCGAAGCGTGAGGATCGAGGCTACAGTGGTACAGCGCTTGATGGCATGGTGATGCAGCACTTGGCTTGATCATTGATGTGGTCCACGAGCAGCGACAGCGACGCCGGCGTGAGCGCGGAACGCCATATCGGCCAAGTTCTCTGCGCACTCGCGTAGCACTAGAGGTCGTCAAGTCCGTCTGCGATGCGGCAGACAAGCTCCGGCGGATGATCTGCCAAGGCCCGGCACGGGAACATGGCGGGGCAAGCATATTATCGAGGTTGGGGAATTTCTGAATGAAAAAGAAGGTGCTTTCCTTCACAGAAAGAAACAAAGACAGACAGAAGCAGAGAAGATGAGTGCCCTGGCCTATGATGGAAATCTTTTAAAGCGTCTGACTGAGCCATTTAAAAGTGCATGCAAAAAATTACTTGCAGAAATTGAGGTAACAGCTGTATATATAA